ATTTCATTTATCCTATGAATGTTTTCCTGTCTAACTGTATCATCTTCAACCAATGATTGAGAAGTTAAACCTTTAAGCAACAAACCCCAGCCGCTTCACGCTTTATTCAGGCATTGCAGTGTTCAATATTGTAAGAGACATTAAGTCCTTACCTAACCTGAGCGCTTTGGAACCAACATTATCCTGACCCGCTATCTCCGCTGGCCTTTATATACCTTCCCCTCATGCTGATTCTCTTTGTTTACAAAATTGGAGCTGCTTACCGCTTTGTTTCAGATGATTTGCGCTATATTGCTTTCTCCATATTCTTTCGATTTCATTTTTTTTCCTCTTTGCAGACACCTAACTTCTACCTTTGCCTTATTGGTCATTTATATTTTCATTGTGACTTTGTTTTTCCCTTTAGTGGAAGTGTATATGTTCATATTCCGTTTGCTTGAATGCATCAATAAATTTGCTGTCTTGACTACTGAGACCATCTCCACCGCAAGTTGCTATCCGGGCTGCCAAATCTCAAAGTTTGGCAACTGCGGTGTGTTTTTAGCAGCTTGCGACCAGTTGGGTTTGCACCGCAAGTTTCTATAATAGCAACTGGGGGAATGTGAAAGGTCCCCCCCGGGGAGGCAAAGACTGCACTTCATATCGGCCGTTATTGGTCCTCTTTCTGTAGTGACCGGTATGACCAAGCAGAGTGTACCCTATCCGGTGACCGGTACCATCCAAAGAGATTGTACACTCTCCAGCGACTGGTACCGGTCACTTCTCCAGTGATCAGTTACCGATATCGGTCTTCAAGAGTCAAGACCTCGTGTCACCGGTACTGGTACTTGCTAGTACATGTAGAATTGTTTTTGACCACGATCAGTCTGTGGGAGTGGAAACTGTAGTGACCGATACCGGTCTGTGGGATTGTACATTCTTTGTGACTGATACCTGTCTTGAAGAGTGTACATGTTCTAGTGACCAGTACCGGTCCTAGGTGTTGTGCTGTGTTGGGGGAGATAGGGAATGGCGAGCAGGAGAATCACAAGAAAGATTTGTGATACTGGCGAGGTTGAGCTGCTATCCTGATTCTACATTTGGTATCGTGATAGCAGCAGAGAGGTGAGGTGTTGGAATGTCATTCCTTGTCTTAGCCCTCGAAAGAGGAGATTGTCAGGTAAGTTTATCAAACTAGTTTGATAAACTTCCTGAAAGCTAAATCATCATCGCGCTGATCATTGTTTTCTTGATCACGCGCAGAATCGAGCTGTTCCATAAGAGAACAAGATTGTGCCAAGCTTTCAGCTTGTGATTCAAGGGATGATGTCATTGACGTCACAAGCGCAAACATGAATGTTGACTGTGATCAATCATTGAGCTCTAGGTGAGTCTTGAATGATCAGATCACAAGAGCGAGAGGAATAGAATTGAAAGATCAATGGAGGTTCTGATTCTTTCCTCTCGAAAAACTTTATTTGAATTTGCTTAGCTTACTCTTGTCAAAACCAACTTCTACTAAACTTATTGATCGTATATTTCCATCGATAAGCGGTAAGCAAGAAGTTAATACTTCTTTAGCCTTTTTCTTTATAAGAAGAAAAAGAGAGAGACTAATCTATTTGATTAATGAAGGTGTGTTAGATCCATTGAATCAAATCACTTAGGTCTCTATTGTCACGAGATTTATTATCTCTAGTCATAAAAATTATCTTTATTTCCTTAAAACTAAAACAAATCAACTCAGTCTCGAATTATCTTTTCATTGTTATCTGAACATTATTATTAGTCATAGCAGATTAAAGATCTGCCTTCAGGTATTTCTTTATTATATTTTTATCAAAATATTCATTTGTATTTCACTAAAAGAATCAATACTCATAAAGAAATAAAACTTCAGTTTCAAATTCTTTCACGAGGTACCACATTTTTTCAGTGTTTAGCAGCCGTGGTGGCGCTGCTAAATTGGGCTTGCGCTGCTATATCTGGTTTAGCAGCCGCGGTGGAGATGGTCTGTGACTCAGATCCTTTATTCGCCTACTAATCCGGCTCAGATCCCCTATTCGTCTACCAATCCGGGGTTTTTCATGTTTTTGAAAATGTCAAATTCAGCACTGCCTTGCTCCATTGAAGCGGCAATCCTGTCACTCCACTTTCCTTCATTACCAGGACTAGCACTGCTTTGCTCCATTGAATTGGTGATCCTGCGCTCCACTTTCCTCTATGTTACTGTGACTAAGATTCTCTAATCCCCTAAAAATCCGGCTGTTTTTGGTTTTGTATTCATACTAATGCCTGGCTGTTCAGGACTGTATCGTAAATTCATCGAGCTTGTACAGCCTCTCCGTCGAACGCACAAAGTGCGGGAGAGGCTTGAGCCCAAAACAAACACGCTTGCGTGTCACGGTCAAGTTTTTTGGCTGTTTTTTGCGCCAAAAATCCTAGGAAATCCAGCTTGTAAATTTTTTGAAAACTGGGTTGAGGTGAAGATGCCCAATATGGTGGTCTTGAATTCCATCAAGAAATTTTTGAAAAAAATCAAAAACTACACAATTGAAGAATTTTTAAGGAAAATTTGCTAGATGAAAAGTTGGCTGAGCTTACATAAGCCTGTTTCAACCTCACTGCCTACCAGGTGAGAACATTTCCTCAATTTGACCAACTTGAAAAACATCCACCTCATCCAATTTCCAAGATAAAGCTCTGAAAATTGGATGAGGTGAGAGGCATCACCAATCTCTAAAACCTCATCTACTCAAATTCTAAATATCTGGTCATGTGCATGCTGTACATCCAGCTCAATGTGTGTTACACCAAAACTGCCCAACCGTGACACGCGGGCATGTTCGCTTTTGTCCTAAGTCCCTCCTTCGGAGGCTCGCGCTTTGCGCGAGTGGCGTTCCACGCCAGCCAAGGAAGGCCACCAGGCCCTCCGAAGCGAGGGACTTTGATAAGTCCGTAAATTCATTCAATGTCAAATACATAATACCAAGTAGCCCCAAGTTGGTTAACACTCACACAATGTTCCAGAGCGGGCAAGAATTCTTTTTTGATGGGTTTCTGGCGGGATGGGATTTGAAAGATCATGTGGCCATAATACAAGTGAGCAAATCTTTATTTTGATTCTAGAGGAGACTAACTCAAAGAGGTCGTTTATTTAGGTTGTCACTGTTAGCCCGGTGGGCATAGGCAATCAGAACTCTACCCTTAAGGGGCCAAGTCTCACCCCAAAGTCTAGCCCGGTGAATAAAGGGCGAAAATTTTAAGTCTGTATGATATTTGGATAACAGTCAATAGCTAACATTGGTTTCTAGCATCACATTTGAAGAGAAGGGAATAAATCCAATTGGGGAGCAAAGGCAAGAGCATCGAGGGAAGGCGAGTGCGCTGTCTGGAAATATATCAAACCAGGGTGAAGGGACAAGTGCAAACATCATTCAGGGAAGCTTTGTAGAGTCGGAGGAGGAAATTCCTTTGGCATTGGTGGTTGACACTAAAGGGAAAGGGAAACAGGTTGCGGGATTGGGTACGGCAAAAAGGAAGCAGAAGGGAGCTGGGGGACTTGAACTATCTATCTTAGAATGGGTCCTATATAAACCATGTGATTGAATATATTGTAACAAGCCTAATGAAAGGAATGAGTTGAAGCAATGTTTGACTTAAATTCATGATTCCAAGTCAAGTTAGATGTAGGCGCTTCTTATTAATATTGACTAATAAGGATTTTATTAAAGTTTATTCTGTGGGCACAGCCTCCAATAGACTCTAGTAACTTGTATATAAAACAATATCATGTTTGCTTTTATTTGTCTCTTTTCCCATGCTTCCTGGAATCCATAAAATCTTACAAACACACATCACTTACAGCCACTAACTCCGCAAGTCAGACTAAACACAGATTATCACATACTCCCTTCCCTTTCATCCAGGCTCCACAAGCAAGCTGCCCTTGCTAGAAGCAGGATGATTATTAATGAATTTTTTTGGAAAAATTTGTATCCAGATGGCTTCCAACAGCTGTTGAGTGGGGCATTCATCAGCCCTCATTGCAGTAAAGCACAAGAATTTACTGTTTTGGCTTGAATCTGGACAACCAACCTGGCCAAACCTTTTTTGGTTCCAATTTTTTTCATTTATAATCATTCTTGCCATGTTCCTCTCTTTCATTCTCTCAGCACTCCCACTCCCCCAAAATGGATATCAAAGCTTTTGAAAAAAATCAGTTTTATTTTTTAGTTTTTACAAATTTTGAAACTTTACTTTTTGTTTTTATTTTTTTGTATTCATTTTCTGGGACCTATTATGCACCACCTGACCAAGTCTCATGATATCAAATTTGTTTTTTGGAGCTCTGCAATCCAAAATAAGCTGCCACTTTTCACTGTCTACCCACTGTACAGGTGTGATTTTATTTTTTGAAATTTGAAAAAATGAAATGAAATGGCAAGATGTGTCAAACTCAAGTCAAGAAACTCTGAGAAAAAATCAAAATTCTTTTAAATTTATTCTGATGTTGTAGAGTCTGCGGGGTTTTTTCTATTTCTATGTTTCCTATGGTTATTATTTATAAGCGGATCAATGATTGGTTATACAACAGTTACCTAGAAGTATTACACTCTTTAGTTACCAACATTCCTTTGTTAGACACGCTACAAGC